CGGTACCGGGCCGCGGCGTCAAAAAGGTTGGGGATCACTGTTATAGCCAGTTCAGTCAGTATTTTACACATGGATTTTTGGTGGTGGGGAATTAGCAGTGGAAAGAAATGGAGATTTTGCTGTCTTGTATCTGTATATCCTTGCCACAGAAGGGTAAATTTTTGCCACAGAAAGGTAATTTTTTGGAGGGTAATATAATTATATCAGAAACTTATTTTACATGAAAACTACTGGAGAAAATAGTTGTTAATTACTTTACCTATTAGGGTAGATAAGATCAAAGCAATAGTAATAGTGGTAGTCATTGCTTAGATGCCATTTAATTCAACATTTGGTTCTTATCAAAAGCATTCTAAAATCTTTCTAGCCATACTTACATTAACAAAGTTTTGATGAATTATATCTGTCTTTTTATTCAATTATTTCAATCAAGAGTAAAACATAAAAAATGTGCAGTTCTAAATATGGTGGTAATACCAGAAAGATTATGGTATTATCACACTATATATCAGAAATTTATTTGATTATTGTTTCCATAATCTACTCTCATTAGATTTCATAAAACTTGTTTCCACAGCAGACAAGTTGTGGACTTCATGATGGGACTTAATCAGGACAATAATAGTTTCTCTGTTTTTGTGTGCATCTTTTTTAGTAGTTTGACTGCATCCTTGGAACCAGAAAGTATTGGCTTTGGCAGTGTCAATAGCAGCCAGGATTCCTTGCACAAAACTCCCAAGAAGAAAGGAATAAAGTCTTCAATTGGACGCTTGTTTGGTAAAAAAGAGAAGGCACGACTTGGACAGCTAAGTAAGACATAGTTCTCCAGGTTCAGATCATAACTTTCCAGTGATTTTTTTAAAAAAGTATTATTTTTTTAATCTTTCATAAATGCTTTAGCTTCTCTTTCAGTTTCAGTTTGCTTTTCTGCCTTTTAAAATGGTTATGGTTTTTTTCCATGCCATTCTGCTATCATCAATCATATTTACTGTCATAGAATTATATTTTGTTAAGTCATTAAAGGACATAGATTAAGCTTTCAATGGAAGAGAATATAGCTCAGGGTTGAGCTGTGAGTCCTTGGGGCTCTCTGAACTTGATTGTTTTATTACCCAATTAGGCAGTGTACAGATAGACCTCAACTTCTAACCACAATTGAAGCAAAAATTTCTGTTGCTGAATGAGGCATTTGTTAATTGAATTTTGCCACATTTTACAACCTTTGTTGCTACAATTGTTAAGCAAATCACTGCAGTTGTTAAATTGTTAAGTAAATCTGATTGTTAAGTAAATCTGACTTCCCCAGATAGTGAACTGGATGCAAGCAAATAATCTAGCTCAGAGAACATCAAGAATTCCAAAAATTAAGTTTCCTTTACTAGTGTTTACTACATTTTGTGAAAAGATTCCATTCACAGGTAAATCTGCTCAGCTTTAAAAATCACACAGAGTAAAACTTGGATAGCAATTAGAAAAAATATGTGACAAGTGTGACATGAGCTAAGACTATCAACTGCACATAATCATAGCTATCCTTTTATGACTCTAGCTTATAAAGAATTTTGATAGAAAATAGATTTTACCCATCACCCATCACTTATTTGGCAAGATTTGTCAAATTTTTCATTTTTCTTAAATTAAAAACAACTTGGAAAAAGAATTGGCTACTTTATATCTTTCTTGAAGAATTTGCATAACTCTAACATAAAGCTTTATTTATCATATTTGTATAGTTTTCCATCTCACATTGATGTATAGTTTTGTCATACAGTGTAGTATAGTACAATACAATTTAATGGCCCCAGTATTGATTATTTACTCAGAACTTAAAAATAGCTGCAGTGGAAAATCAAAGAATAAATTAGTTAGAATGCATTCTCATTTGTAAAATAATAAAATAGAATGTTCTATAGTGCCATTAAATAAACATTGACAGCAGAGATGAATGTACTTATCATTTAACCACAATAACTATATGGAGTGATGTAAAATTATGATTTATTTTCTAATATCTGTAGTCACTATTCATGTAACATTTTATATTCTTGTCTATTTTATATGATGCATCTACCTGGGCAGCATCTATGGAAAGGATAGGAGAATGTTGCTGTTGGAACTTCTGTTCTGACCCAAATCCTTTTCCAATAAAACAATAACCAAAGGGAACAGAAACCTTTTAATGAGTCTTATGAATCCCCAGTTAAAAGGCTGCTGCAAACTAATTAACTTTGATAAGCACAAACCTCGCCAAAACTGTGCGAGACTGCCAAGAATCACAGATAAGAAATATTTCACAACACAAGAGTCTTCAAATACTAACTAAGGTACTGCAATGTCCACGAGGCTGGAGTTTCAAAATGTTTTTGATTCCTACAAAGAACGTCTGATTCACAGCTGGCTTTTATCTTCTTGAAGGAGGGGCCATTACCTTGCAGTCTTACTCCCAAGTCGCCCGTGCTGCTGCAGCTGTTTTTTCCTACGAGCAGCTCTGCGTGCACTTGGCACAGGCTCCTCGGGAATCTCCTCATCGCTGCTGCCAGCCCCCACAATCTCTGAAGGCAGCAGTCCACTCCGTAATGGTCCTGGCCCCTCATCTGAGTCCTCACTCTCCTCATCCGTCTGTACCTTCTGCCAGCTAACCACAACAACTTCACAGTTGGGTCATAGGTAGCTCTTTGGGGTCTGTTGTAACTTCAAAGCATCATTAAGTGACTGGTTTAGTTTATTGTCATTGCACCTTGTAGAATGCTAAACAATGCTATTTTAATATTCCTTCTGCCCAAAACAGTCATTTTGGCTTGAAAGGGCTTCTTGTCTTTTTTAGAAAGTCAAATTAGGAGATGAGAAAACCTGACTAAGGAGAAAATATTTGAACCTTGCTTACAGGAAAACAAAGAGGGGAAAATCATGAGCACTTTAAAAAGTTATTTGTGGAATCTACATTCTTAAGTTTTATTTTTCATAGATTTCAAGTTACCGTTTTTACCAGTATATATGTGTCTCAGAAAACAAATCAAAAGCACGTCTGGTAACATTATTTAAAAAATAAAGATAGAAAATCTCTTTGCTGTTTTAAACACAGGAGGCTACATGGAAACTGAGGCTGCAGCACAAGAATCTCTGGGATTAAGCAAACTTGGAACCCAGGCAGAAAAAGACCGAAGACTAAAGAAAAAGTAGGTTGGCATGAACTTTGAATAAAACACCAAATACATTTGCTTGTTGAAGAAAAATCAATGTATTAGTACTTATTCTGATTGCATTTTTAAAAAGCCAAACACAATGAAAGGTAATTTCTACTTTTCTATATTGATTCTATTAAAGAAACATACCAGGAGGATTCTTGGGATTTGCCTATTGGTGGCCTATTTAAAATGCAGATATTTTCTACTGAGAGTAGTAATTATTTTCAATTCAATCTGCCACTCTTACATGGCAACTTGGTCAGTGAGTTACTGAACAATGATATGCTGCTTTCCATTGCATTTCCTTGAAATCCTAATTCATTCGTTGTGTACAAATGTATGATAAAATGCTATTATTTTTTGATACCTATCATGTTCCCTAAAGAAAATACATGTTTTACAAAATCACAAAGGATACCTTTGGAGAAAAACTGTGGAAATACTTATCTTCAGAACTTAATTTCTGCTGATCTCTTTGAATTTTTGATGCTTGCTTTACCAGAAATCTTTCCAGTATTTACTTATTTGTATCTTGTGTGGGAAAATAAATTTTGGTAATACACTGTTCATTGCTTAGCTTGAGTATTCTACATTATGATGTAGCACTCTTAGATAAAATATTACTTTGATTATCAGAATACGTAATTGATTTGTGACTATATAGAAAACATTGGTAATATCAAACAAGATTATTTCATGCTGTCAGAAAAGCCACTTAAATTAGCACTCCAAAAAGAAAAGATATGCATTTTCCCCTTAGTTATATTTATTTATTAATAATACAGTTAATAAATATATTTCAATCAGAATCATTTTCTTCTAAAAATAATATAGAAATATTATATAAACTATGTATTACATTTAATAATGTAAGTTCCCTGGTATGGATAAAATGTAAATGTGACTTCCAATTTTTCTTTTTTCTTTTTTTGCTTCTGTTGTTTCTTTATAAGGTTGGAAGGTATAAATCTTGTAAGGCCTTTTTTGTTTCTACCGGGCACTTCATGCAAAAAATAAGATCACTAAATATTTTTATACAACTTTTGTACTAAATAGTTAGGTGCATTTTGATATTTGTTAATAATAATATTGTGATAATTTAAATAATATTTTTGAAAGACTTTGGTCTTGCTTTCTATACTTCACTTTCATCTCTCTGCCTGATAGTTTTCATTTATTTTCTGCTGGCAGAAACATACATACAATAATGAGAATTTTTTTGTTGACATATTTTCCTTAATAGTCTAGTAGAAATTATATTTCATTATCCACGTTCTAATTACTTTTTCTGTTATCAGTTTTCAACAGACAATTCCATGGGGAAAAGGTGTATAAATGAGATTATGATCAGTTATAGTCATAACTCTGACAAGAAATCTTTGTAAAAAAGATGCTTGAAATCTCTGACATATTGGTGGCACCCTTCAAGCATATATTGACTTCAACCTATTTCTTTATGTAAATTATTCTGAGCTAAATCTGGGTTATGAATGAACAAGTTATGTTGGGAGGGCGGGGTTCTAAAGCAATTTACCATTACATTGGCCCTGGCATCAAAGTTTAGTCAAGATGTTTTACTGTATTTTTTCATTAAATAAGCCCAACTTGATTGGTATTAACATCAGAAATTACAGAACAGTTTTCATAAACATGACTACATTCAAAATATGTGCATTAGGGAAATCCCATCCTCAGTTGCTAAAAATTATAATATTCACTTGTAAGTTGCTTTCCATGACTCCTTTTAATTATCTACCTAAATTAAAAATGTCCAAGTTTAACAGATTTGTGGAGGCAAAAGGAATGAAAGTTTTGTGTTTATTAACAAAGCAAATCCAAAGGCATCCTTATTACAGTTTATCATCTCAGATGTACAATAATTCTGAAGACAGTTGACTTCCCAGTAGGGAAATTACATGATTTGTAAAATGTGTTATCATGTTAAAGTATTAGAAAATATTTTTGTGTTCTTTGCTGCTAATTGCATTGATTCATTAGTTCTGAAAGAAAAAAACTTGAGTGTAAAACTTATAATTACCATATGAATAATATGAGTACTAGAAGGCTCCAAGAAAGTTCTGCTCATTGCTAGGCAGAATAATTATGACTAAATGAAGGGAACAAGGAAAGACTGGTCAGGTTAAATAAAAATCTGAAAGGCAGGAAATGTCTTTTTTTAAAAAAAATCTTGTTTTTTTTTACTGACAGAATGTTCACCTTCCTATGCTCCTAAATTATTGTTATTATGATTTGTTGCACAGTCAACCAGATGTTGATATTGAATTTGGCACTTTTATCCATCTATCAAGTCCCTCCCAAGACAGATATTGTTGTTTAATGATGTTAAAAATGTTGTCGTAGCATGTTCCTAGTAAAGCTGCCTTTGCAATTGACTGATGGCTGTCAATGCTAGTGATATTACAGTGGTGCTTCAGAAGTTTTGGAATTGCACCCAAGACCCTTATTATTGTGGATATCTTTGCTTTCTTTTTCACAGTCATTCTACTTCTATTTGCAGGTCTTTACATTTTGTGATTTTTCCCCCCTCAATCCTTTCTCTTCTATTCTGCTCTCACAGTATTGATGTCCACTATTCAGATTTTTTGTCTTATCAATCATTGCTAAGTTTTGGGTATTGTATGACAGCTGCTTGTTAATGTTGTTATGGTTCATTGCATAATCAAACAGAAGTTTATATTTGGCATTTTTATTATTATTAAAAATGTTAGTTTTATCATCTGAGGCTTTATTTGCATATATATATACAAATGCTGTGTTTTTATATCCATGAACAATCATTTCTATTAGGAGCATTTATTTATTTGTTTATGTATATCTCACCTTTATTATTTTTTACAAATAATTCAAGGCGGTGAACATATCCAAATGTTTTGTCTATCCTGTATCTTCATAGATACATGAACATGCATATAGCAGCTTCACACTATTTGCTTATTTTGAAACATTTATAATATCTTTCTACTTTATAAAATCAACCAAGCTGGTGAATAGAAATAACATCCCATAATTTATTTTTCTTAATTTTAGCTCCTAAATATATTCTGCTGCCAAAATATGGTCTGACACACAAGAGGTTTTGGGTGTCTGAATACTATGGATTTTATATTTAAGACTTACTCCAGGAATAGTTTGCTGCTAGTTAATTGTTTCTTGCTCATATTAGAATTCAATTCAAATTATTCTAACATTTCAATCAGATTAAATGCATATGGATTGACTACAACTCCTATATATTCTTGTTCTTAATCATGCTGGCTACTGGGGATGATGAAATACCATTATTCTTAGCCATGCCATCACATACCACTCATCTGCACTCTTCTGAATAAAAGTGTAGAAGTATAAAAACTTTTTATCATCCAATATGAAAAATGCATTATTGTGTTTCTGTTAATTATCCATTTGATCTGGATGATTATGTTCTATGAATGAATGCTAATTCAGTAATAAAATAGGTACATATCAAATAGAAATAGTAATTATAGTTGTAACTTGAAGAATCATCTAATCTATTGGACTTACTATTGTTGACGTATCCATAGCTCTAAATGTTGCTTTGATTTTTTTAAAATGAAGACTATACATATGTTTTATGTTCATGCCAAGTGAACTGCTGGCCTTATGATATTCATATTTTGGTAATTTCGTGGGTTTCAGGCTATAGGAAATCTTAAATGAAAATAAAACCTCAATTTTCACATATTTCATCCAACCGCTTTTATATGATAAATGTGCAGTAGGTGAAGAGAAATAAGGATTGCCTGAACAGTGTGCTGCTCTAAAACACTGCAACAGCCATAAGTTCAAGGATTGTCCATAAGCCGCCTCTTTCAGAACCATCGTAGCTTTGACCAGTCACTGAATTAAACAAATGGTCATAAATTGAGGACCACCTGTACAACAAATACCGCAGAGACAATTTTTCACTGCAACAAAAACAAAAGCTCCTGTTTTCTTTATCATTAATGTGAACACCAATCTCTGTTCATAACAGCTGCCTTCCGATATATCAGAATAAAATTACTAATCTACTTGTGCATTTTATCCAAATGTGGCACACCATGATATCACATGAATTTAGTTTGTAATACAACAAAATAGAGCATAGTTTATACAATTGCTCTTTCTTGTGCCAGTCATTTAATTGATTCCAAATCTCTGCTTTATTATTATGGAATACTGACTGAAAAAAACTCATCAGAGGACATGATAATGACTGTTGATATTGTGCCTAGGCAATAACAGCCGCAAAATCCAAAAGCCCATATTGTGTGCATATTCTCCATGGCCTTTCCAATAGCTATTTCTCTGCATTGCCGTTCATAAGGTCAAAAAAGGATTTGTTGAACAGTGAACTTTGTGAACATCCTTTGAAAATGGAGTTCACTTGCTACATAGCTCCTTCCAGCTAATCCTGTCAGGCTTTTTTGCTCTGGTTTTTTTTTTTTGGTGACATCATCTTAACACTTTGATAAAAAGTGCTATATCTGTTTCCAGAAATAGCTCAACTGACTTAAAATAGGCATGGGAGAGGAAGTGGAAAAGCTCCCTTTCAGAAATGTGGATCATATTTTTCTCCTGTTTTCCTTCTTAAAGGAAATAGTTTGGGGCATCTTTACAGACAAATATATTATGTGACTTTAGGTTTAGGGACTATTCTATTAAGTTCACATGGAATATGCAAAGAAAGAAATTACTAGTTTATCAAAGCAATTTCTGTGAGGAAATTGTTGTTGAATCTTGAGAGAAATATTTAATACAGTAGAAATAATCATACACTTCTTTGCCCCTTAATTCCCATCAATTATTCATATAAAAGGAGAAAGATAATTCCTCACAAGGAAACTAAAATCTTAACACTAATTTTATTGCTGATTAATTTTGGTGATAGAATATACAGGTTTAATTAGGAAAAATAAGCTATTTTGGCAAAAATACAACATGAAATATGTCACTTGTACTTTCTATGT